GAACACCAACGAACAAATTTTCGTTTGTGTTGGTCGTGTTCGGCTCATTAACTTAGCGAACAAGCCAAACACGAGCTTCTTAACGAGCCGAACATGAGCTGTTCGCGAACAACGAGCCTTTTTGACAGCCCTAAACATGAGAGATTTTAATTATTTATTATATGTTTATTTGGATCTATGAATATTTTTATGTTGGACAATAGGTATAAGAGAAATTTATTATGCGAAGTTTATCTTATGTCATGCATTGCTTTTATATTTTCTATTACTTTCAGTTCATAAATTAAGTTAGTTCGATTAATTTATGTTTACAATCTACATTACACTTGTATTTTATGCAATTTATTACAAGTTAGTTCACAGCTTATACAATTTGGTATTTGTTATCTGCATAATTTGCAACTATTCTATGTTAGGATGTTAATAATTCTTTCGTTAATATATTAAATTTTACATTTATTTTGCCTCTACGTGAATTTATAATTGTGATGCTTACGTCCCAGAACTTCTCAGAGCTTACGCCCTAGCCTAATTGACAAAAATGTCTTGATAACCAATTGCACAATTTTAACATTATTTGCATTTATTTATTCTTTGTTACTATTCCACGCTTATCTACTCAGTAGACCCATGCAGAACTTCTTGCAAGTTTATCATATGAGCCTTCTTGCAAGTTGCCAATGTTATGTCTACAGAAATTTTAGAAGTTATCAACTTTGACAGTTTGACTAATAGATTTAATGCATATAAATAGTTTTTGAGGCATGGAACCAATAATTTTCTATCTGTTCCATTAAATTTTAAATTTCTTCAAACTTTTCAGCTAGTTGGACAATAAATTATTCAAGTGATGCAAATATTAGTACCAATTTATGGTGGAAGTCAACGTTCTCTCCTAACTCATTGGATAAGCTATTCATGCCTAACAAAAGTATCACAACAACAGCAAAAACTTAAGTATACTATATCCCAGAACAATATTAACATTAATCCAATACCATCCAAAAGTATCTTCCGATATTCAAGTTTTGAGGATTTTCCAGCAGAAGAAGAGTATAAAAATTAAATTCATTAGACATAGCAGATTTACAATGGAGTGAGCATGAAATGTTAAAAGCGGGCAAATGGCAGATATAAAAGCACCTAAAACATTGCTCCGGATATGCATCCATCCGTTTTTTGAACTTCAAAAAAGTTCTATCAGCACCCAAAGCCTTATCATATTCATATCCCTCTCCTTCCCAAACTTCATCATCTTTATCATTATTAGAATCATCTTCTTGTTTAACAGAAAGTTTGGCATAATTGGCACAAACAGCAGCAACTTCACCAACGGATCGATCTTCCTGAGTATATATATAAAAGCAAGGAACCACTGCAACCAAGATGAAACACAAACAAATTACTTTCTCTCTCATATCTAAACTATCAAAAAAGTCCTATCACACCTGGTATGCTTGAGTTTATGCCATTTAGTGTTGACTCAGATCTCATACTCGTCTTATTAGATCCTAAAATCAAGGAGCCATTTGGTTTCTTGGACCGAGAAGCTTGTGAGCAAGCTTCAGAAAGTTCCCGAGCCAATTCATCAAAGTATAAATCATCATATTCCTCCTCAACACTTTCTTCATCGCCACTCACCAAGTTCTTCTCAACACTTCCATCGTTACCCCTAACCATGTTTTTCTCATCCCCATTGCAGTTTGCAGAAGGTTTGGAATCTTCACAGATGCCATTGAGAGTCTTCTCGCTATTGCACTTTCGCATGCGAAGTGCTCGCCAGCTGCAAACTTTGATTAAAACCATGAAATAATAAATTATACAAATGAAAAAAATACAGTAAACGATATCGCTTCTTTAGAACAAACCATTTAGGGCTACTCCCGCATTTTTTCGTCAAACAGCCAAAGACATAGATGACTCTTTCGTCAACATTCAATTTTGGCAATTTAATAGGAGCATATACCTGAAATTTTACAGAACAAAAACACCAAAAAAAACAAAGTGCAGCAATCAGAATTACTAAGCTCAGCAAAGAAGACCTAGCAACCACTCACCTGTGCAAGAAGGCAGAGCCTTTCACCGCACAAAACGCATTTTATCAGATCAGGCCTGAGAAACATTTCGGGGAATGGCCAGTCCTGCGAGATACAGAACCGCAATGCAAAACATTGGTAATCAGATTTTGCAGATGATTAAAAACAAAGAGTTAGATTTCTCTCTTACAGGCAATCCTCCAATCTTTGCTTTAGTGTTGCAATGCAGACATTGAGTAATTAAACCATTTGCACTAAATCAGATGATATATTAATTTTCTTACATACATACCTTGATGGGACCTTAAAGGATGATCAAGAATGTTTGTGGCTGTCATAATTTGTCGAAAGAGAGTTTCGTTCTGACTACCCCTAGTTTTATATACAACAAAAAGATTATAAATTTACATGTGTTCGTTTTGTGTTAGCTGCCTTTATTTTTATTTCATATTCTCAAAGATTTGATTGTGGCATGCGTAAGTACATGAGTTTGGTAGTTTAAAAAAATAACATTGGCGCTACTTTTGTAAATATATTAATCTGAATGGTATATATGTAATTATTCCAAAACATATTTAGGAGAGATTTTTACACAAGTATTGACTCTCCTTTTTTCTTTTAATTTCCAGTTCTTTTATTCATCTAAAATAACTGGCTCTATTATTCTCTACAGTGTATGGATAGGAGGGAGCATTTTGGCTTCCCTTGGATCATTTCAGCAGATGTGGTTCTCCAAAGGAGAGTGAGTACTTCAACTGTTGCTTTTTTTTTTTTTTGGGTTAATTTCCTAATTACATGTTATTTTTTTAATTTCTTACTTTCTCCGTAACCGGTCCAGCGAAGCATTTGGTGGAGCTTAATTCTATTTTCTTACTTCAAGTTGATG